CCTGAGTTCGATCCCTGGTTCTGCCAAAAAAAAAAAAAAAAAAATATCCATACACTTCACAAGCTGGAGGTGCTATTCTTCAAATTGCACCTATGAATTCAATAAAGTAACTGTGGTGTTTTGTGTTTATAACAGGGCTTTTGTAAAACAGGCTATTTTTTTTTTTTTTTTTTTTTTTTTTGGCAGAACTGGGGATTGAACTCGGGCCCTTGCGCTTGCCAGGGAAGTGCTTATTCTACTAAGCCACATCCCCAGCCCCAGCCTGTTTTCAAGGAATACATATTTCATTCACTCAAAAAACCCTACCATATGTCAATGGTCAGCCCAAACTCATTGGTCAGGGCAGAGGTACCAAGAATTGAATTCAGGACCTTGTGCTTGCCAGGCAGGCATTGTGCCACTGAACTATATTCCTGGGCCCTAAAGTCATTTTTTATTCAGAAAACATTGTTATTATAAGAAGGAATTCTTCTTAAGAAAGTCTGAGAGAAATTGTTTCTCTCTGGGGAGCATAAAGAAAAGTGTTGCGCAAGTGCAAAATTTTGAAAAATGAATTTTTTTTGGGCAGAAGGAAGTGGAATAAAGATGCTATGTAGCTTGTCTCAAGATGGTAAACACCAACATTCAGGGGTAAAATAAACAAAGGACTTTACACAAGCGTGTGCAGGCCGCTAGTACTAGACCCCTGAGTGAGTCAGTGGCACAGCAAGAGTGAATACAGAAGGGTCCCAGTGTGCCGCTGGAACTCCCGTGACTGCAAGGGTCAGTCCGTGAGGATGGCACGCCTGGTCTTCATTTCCTCCAACTCAAGCCAGAAAAGGAGGGGAAAACCCACAGCCTGTAGGTCTGGGACCTTTTACTGAAGGGGTCCTACAAGGCGCACAAACCACCAGACCTTAGGGGCCAAGGAGCACTTTCGCCCTTCATCTCATGCAAGGTGAGCTCTGGCCAGGCCGGCATCCTCACCCTGCTCTTTCTTAAAAGTCGACCAACTTTAGTGATTTATCCCAGCATTAAAAGAAAATTCCAGAGCTAGCAATACAAATGGTCCAAAATATTAGAATATATTTGAATGAATTATTTTGTTTCTGTCGAAATAAATGTGAACACTATGGTGCTACACGTCCTGTCTCACCTTTCCTCTCTCTTTTTTTTTTTAACATTTATTTAGTGTGTGTGTGTGTGTGTGTGTGTGTGGCCAGCTCAGCCCACCAGGGGGCGCGGCTGGCCGGCATGTGGTGCTGGGGGATCGAACCGCGGTCCCTGTGCTTTGCCAAGCTTGTTCCAAGTAGGTGCTTTAGACCACTGAGCCATCTCTCCAGCCCCATCACCCTTCCTCTCATAGTTTTTATTTTACTTATTTTATTTTGCCGTCCTTTTGCATTACACTCTTAGATAACTCCTCTTTTTAATTTTTAAGCTTGTATTTGGTCTTCTCTTTGCCTGTGTTACTGTTCAGGTTATCTATTGAGTTTTTTAGACAGGGTCCTACTATGAAGCCCCAGCTGGCCTTGAACTCACAACAATCCTCCCAAAATGCTGGGATTACAGGTGTGCAACATCACACCAGGCTCTGGGGTATTTGTTTGTTTGTTTGTTTTTGGAGACAGGGTCTCACTATGCAGTTCAGGATGGTCTTGAGCTCACTTTGTAGCCCAGATTGGCCTCAAACTCAGAATGATCCTCCTGCCTCAGCCTTTTGAGTGTGGGGATTATAGGCATGCACCACCATACCTGACCTAGGGTTTTCATATTTGTTTTTATTTATTCTGTTCTCCTAATAGCATGTGATGGAAAGCTATACTAAATGAGACATGTAATCTTTCAGAAAGAATTTCTGAAAAGTACCTTAAAATAATTAAGGGGAAAAAGTGTTCTAGACCCCCAAGAGGTATCGTCTAATTTTCAAGATAAAATTACTCCTTAGTTTGGTAAAGGTTTGGTTGGGGCCTCCCTTCCAGCCTCCTCTCCTGTGGCCCCCACGGTCCCCACTTAATCCAGCTGTCTGGAGCACTGGCTGCTCCCCAGGGAGATCTGTCTCAGTTTATCATTCTCCACATAAGCGTTTTCCTTTCCTTAGAACATTTTGACCCTAGCAAGCTTATCTCACCAAAAGCAGTTTAACAGTAACATTTTGTTTAAAGATCACATTTATCACTATAAGCCACTATGTTTCGTCGCAAACTTTGCAACATTGCCTTCCTTTCCCAGGGCGAGGCAGCAGTGACCATGCCCCAGCCTGCCAGCTGGTCCTGAGCGCTGGCTGCTCAGGGAGACGGTTGCATAGGGAGGTAGGGCAGGGCACATGCCGGAGATATGTCTAGCTTAGTGATGAGCTGCAAACAGGTTAGCAGATACCCTGCACGTAGGCCCAATTGTGGTAACCACGACCTTCAGTGGCCGGTTAGACTTCTTGAGGCCTCTATTTCTGAGGTTCCCCATGTCTCACTCAGGTTGAGATGCTCATTTAGCTCCAAAGTTATGCTTATTTAACTCCAAATCAGTTTTGGGGTTTTTTGTTTTCTTCTGGTTTGGTGTTTCTGTTTTTATTTTGAAACAGGGGCACACTGCGTAGCTCCGAATGGCCTCGAGTTCACGATGTAGCCCAGGCTGGCCTCAGCCTCCTGAGTACTGGGATTATTGGCAAGGGCCACCAGGACTAGTTCAGTTTTCTGATTTCTTTTTTTTTTTTGGAGGGGGGAGCTCTCAGTCCAACCTGGGGGAAGGGCTGGCACAGCATGTAGTGTCAAGGGGATCAAACTATGGTCCCTGCACTTGCCTAAATTTGCCTAAACAGATGCGTTAGACTGCTGATCTATCTCACAGGACCCACTTTTCTGATTTCTTATGGCGTTCAAATGCAAAAAGACAATAAAAATATTAATTTTTAGAGTAATTTAATTTTCCTCATTACATTGTCATGTACAACATTCAGATAATATTGATAGATAAATAAATGTCTCTCATGAGTGAAAGACATAAACTTCTGGCGTTGGTTCATCAGTACCCTGGATTCACTTGAAGCTCTCCATGGGACTGGTCATAGTCCTTCTTTTGCTGTTGTGCTCCATGAGCTTGCCTCCATTCAGCCAGGGCTTCTCCCCAACTCTTGTCAACTCTTTAGGCAGGGTGGCCACTGGCCTCCCTCAGCAACCTCTAGTGGCAGCCCTTGTGGTCACTGATTACATGAGCTTCCTTCAGAGACCCACAGTGAAGGAATCCTTTGTCACCTTTTCACCTCTTTTGGCAGGTGAATGTACTGGGTATCAGATTCAGGGCCTTCACATTGAGTAGCCTTGTTTCTTTGAAACAGGGTCATGCTGAGCTGCTAAGTTACCCAGGCTGATCCTAAGCACTCACCCTTCCTGCCTCAGACTCCAGAGTGCTGAGGTGACAGGTGTGTGGCCCTACGCTTGGCCTAATTCTCCCTTCTTATTCTTTACCCTGATGCACAGGACTTCCTGATACTGGCAGGCCATCATTTAGTTAATCATTTATTTGCTGATAGGCCTAATGATTGCTACAGACCATGGAGGAGTGATCAGTGTTGAACGTTGTGTATCCGCTAGTGAATCTCCATTTGAAGTAACTTCTGTGCTCTCAGCCTGTCTTCACTGTAAACTGGCCAAGAAGAATTGTTTTAAAGGTCTCCAGCACACATGGACATTCATAAATTCTCCTGAGAAAGAAAATAGGAAATGGCGGTGAAGGGTTTTCATTTGAATGCCACAAGTTCCCTGAAAACCGCAACCCCGAGCTAAATGAGCACCAAGTGCAAGCAGTGGTCAGTCTGGAGAGGACACTAGAGCTGCCATGCAGGGTGTTGAGTCCCCCAAGGCTCAGGCCAATGTTGAGCACCAGAGGAGGCGTAGGGAGGGAAGTAAACACCTGAGAGAACCAGGAATCTCACAGTAGGATGACCCTTGAGCCATAGTCACAAGGAGACAAAGGATTCCTTAGCCGTGGGTCTCTGAAGGAAGCTCATGTAATCAGTGACCACAAGGGCTGCCACTAGAGGTTGCTGAGGTAGGCCAGTGGCCACCCTGGCCTAAAGAGTTGACAAGAGTTGGGGAGAAGCCCTGGCTGAATAGAGGCAAGCTCATGGAGCACAATAGCAAAAGAAGGACTATGACCAGTCCCATGGAGAGCTTTGAGTGAGTCCAGGGTACTGATGAACCAACGCCAGAAGTTTATGTCTTTTATTGTCTTTATTTCCACTTAAGTCCATGTGGAGTGGCTAGCATGGGTGAGGCATTGTTGCATTGTAATTCCACGCCCTTCCTAGCAATGTAAAAGATACCCTGTAATGACACATTTTGTAACTCAGTGACCTCCACCCCTTTCCTTGTCTTTCCAATATTAAAAAAGTATTCTTTATGCTTTATCTTTCATACTGCGCATCAAAGAATTGCATCTTGTCCCAGTGTCTTGCTGTTCAAATCTAGGTTTTTTGTATAATGAAACATGTGCTCTCTCAGAACCTTTTGCCAGCCCTCTCTCTCCCCCTTCTGTCTGTATCCATTGCACAAGTCTCCATCGCTCTCCCTTGTTAGCTGAGACTAAACACATCAAAAGGATTTAACACATCTCATTCTGTCAGATGTTTGGGATTCCACGTTGAAATCTTGACATTTGTACAGTACTGATATCACTAGGCCAAATTAAGGGAATCTATATGATCTGCGCAGTCCTGCCGCATTCAGATACAGAGTTCTCCACACTACGCCCTTAGGTAAGGAGCAGCCATGGTGGCTTGCAGGCAAGGTTGGAACCTTGTTACAAGAGCCAGAAGAGGAGCTTGATGCACAAAAAGCAGTCTTGCTGGGCTGACAGGGATGACAGGGTAAGAGGAAGAACTGAACAGCTTGAGCCCAGATCCAGAGATTAGAGGAGGGGGCATTCATCCATGAAAGCTCCACATTTGATGGTAAAGTCTTGTGAGTGATTGAAAGGAGGTTTTATCAGTAAACACTAGCCTCTGTCAGCTCCTTGCGAGACATCCTGGAAATGGCCTTGGAGTTGGGGAGGAGACATTTCTTTGACAATTTGCAAGGTAAGTTATTAGACAATATTTTTTTTTAAATCTTGTATTTATTTATTTATAGCTCAGACTGGCAGAGTTCCTTCTATCTCAGCCTCCCCAGTGCTGGGATTACAGACATGTGCTACCATGCTCAGTTTCGATTCTGGAGCCAGCATCGCATGCGGTACCAGGGATCAAACCTGGGTCCTTGTGCTTACCAGGCAGGCTCTTACACCCCCCAAGCTATCTCCCCAGACTCTTGGGCAATATTCTTTTTGCTATTCTCATATTCTCCTTCCTCTGGATTACTTGCCTGCATCTTTTCCATATAAAAACTCCATTTCTTCTTTTCTTCCACATCGGAATTGAACACCCTTCAAAACTAGAGCCCACATGAGTAACTGGGCTCTAGCGGGCAGTGTTTTCCATTTCCTTGATGGCAGGAAGGACAAGTCTTCAAACAGTGGACAGAAGTAAGGAGAAACATTTTTGTTCCTTATGACAGCTGGAGTGGGGGGGAGAAATCCTCCATGCCAGACTGGGTTGACCCATCATAGCTACTCATTACATTTCATGTTAAAACAAGGTAAACATTCACATACTGTGATACTTGGAACTTCATTAAAATGCAAATGAATACAGAAGAGTATCTGTTCTTAGTTCTGTCATTAGCTTTGCCAAAGATTAATTGCAAATGCTTTCCTGAGAGTAATTTGTGATAAATGAACACTAAGGGGAAATTAGGTTGAGAAACATACAGAAATGATGTTGCCAGAGAATATAAGCAGCCCATGGGGAAAGAGGTGACAGTTTTGCTGTAACCATGTGCAAGTAATGTTTACTTATTAAACCACAAACTCAAAATATTCATCTCCTTTCATTTCCCAGAGAAATATCATAGTCTGCTCCTGCTGACATAACTACTCATCCTTCTCTCAGCGTCCATCTTGTGGTCACCGTAGTCACACCCATGTGGTCTAGACTGCATCCTTCTCTGGACACCAAATTTAAACTCACTAGCCCAATCAGTGGCCTTTTCCCTTCATTTCTCATTTGCTTTGGGCCCAAAATAGAGACTTCGGATGCTGGTAATTGTATGCCTATCTCAGTAAGTGTACAGTACATTCTGTACCTTCAGCCTACCTCCCTACAATAGCTATTTTGAGGAGAGATGAGACCAGGACTAGCCCATGGTGTTCAAGACAAAGCTGTCAAAGGGATTTAAAGCTAACTTCAAAGACAGATGTGCTGTATACCTATAACCTCAGCACTGGGAAGGCTCAGGCAGGGACAGCTTGAGCTACATAGTAAGTTCAAGTCCAGCCTGAAATAAAAAGTAAAACCCTGTGTCAAAAAAAAAAAGTTAGCTTCCATGTAAATCATGTCTAGAAAGTTGACTGTTTTTTCCCTGAGACAGAGTCTATGTAGTGTAGGCTGGACTTGACCTTGCTCTGTGGCCCACGCTTGCCTTGGATTCATGATCTTCCTGCCTGGAGGGACTGACAGAGCATGGGTGAAATGAGTGCTATGACCTGAGGAAAAGCTGAACAAGAATAAGGAAAATGCTGGGGAGATAGCTCCACGCACAAGCACCTGCCTGGCGAGTGCAAGGTCCTGAGCTTGATTCCCAGTACCAGAAAAGAACAGGGAAAGTTAAAAATGATCAAGGTGTGATGTGTGTATGTACCAGTTCCCCAAGATGAATGTAATTACCATATTGTGTGTCACAAATAAATAGTAATAAAATAAATAACAAAGAATGATAGGACCAGGAGATGGCTCCGTGGAATAAGTGCTTCCCTGGCAAGCACAAGGGTCTGAGTTCAATCCCTGGTTCCACGAAAAAAAAAAAAAAAAAAAAAAAAAACAAAGAATGATAAAAAAAATTTTTTTAATGGTGATTAACTAATAAGAAAGAGAAGTAATATCCATAAATGGGTACCAGTCAACAGCAGAAAATTCCAGTAGCTTCGGGAAGAGTTGGAATATTGCCAAACCTATGACCCAGGCACCTCGCATTTTTATATAGGAACATTCAGGACATGGGAAGGAATGGGGACTTTACTAAATTATCATCACCTACTATTTTGATCATCTTCAACGTGAGAGTGCTCTAGGGAAGTTAAAACCGTATGTTCATTACCTTTTTTACTACCTACCCTCCTTTCTCCTAATACTTCAAAGATGGGTGAACTAGGGAGGTCTTATGCCATCCTAGGATATGCCACAGCTGCACAAATGTCCTATGGATTTCAAATCTGGGAGAAGCTGATAGATATATATATATATATATGCTAATAATAACAAGCCACATTTTCACAGACTTTAAAATAAATGCAGACAGAGAATAAAAAAGTCCTACATCGTCAAACTATGCACATTTTGTTTAAAATCTCTACACAGCTTGGCAGTGTTTAGGGAAAACTAATGTAAACCTACCAGCATCAAGCGAAAGATTAGAACTTCACCCCAAACCTTACACTCCCCCACTGAGAATGCAAATAAGATATTCGGCATTTCTCTTAAAATTCCTACTGCAGTTTGGCTTTCTTTTAATTGTTGCTTGAATATGCAGCAAGTTACACAAACTTCCTAATAGGAAGGTGCTTGTGACCCACAGGATGAATGAACTCCTTTCTGAGTGTTTGCATTTGAAAACATAGATGAGCATCCGATCCCCCAGTTCAGGTCGTTCGTGCAGATGAGTCAGAGGGCTTGCGCAGACATTGAGTTAATTGTGTAATTCTACAACAGAAGACGCCATTGGAGAACCGCGCTGACCTCACAGCTGAAAAAAACTATTTAAGAAAGATGTGGAAACCAGATGTTTCAGGCACAGTTCAGCCGCTGTTCTGAGGATTTATTGCGGGCAGCCTCCGCCAGCCGGTTAACGTCCCTGCAGCTGACGATATGATCATCCTAACTTACTTACTTCTCTTGCTCTGGGAAGAGGCTCAAGGATGGGGCTTCAAGGATGGAATTTTTCATAACTCCATATGGCTTGGTAAGAAACTTCCCTCGTGGGGCTTCTTTTGGGGAATGTCAACTCTTTGAAAACTTGGAAGAGTGGATCGAAGCAGGAAAAATTTCTGATCTGTTGAAGGCTGGTGCTTTCAAAGAAAATGCTTAGGGAAGATAGCTAGTGAAATGCCATTTTTTTTTAAGTACTCTTGCTTTCTAAAATTTAAAAATAGCTTTCAATAAAATGAGTTGTTCTAGTGCAATGCAAAAAAAGATCTATCTGTATAATGAAAATTTCTTTTTTAGACCTTCAAAATACCTTCAGTAGCATAGGGAAGAGAGTCTCTTTAACAAACTCAGAACACCAATATAGTAGTTGCTTTTTATTTCAATTGAATCTGCAGGTAAGTTTCAGAGACGATGAGATGTATGAAATGTTTACAGTAACTGGTTTTGTACTTAGATGCAGAGAGTTTATGTAAGCTTTCCCAAGCATCCTTTATTTTGACAAAGCAAAAAAGAAAGAAAAAGGTTTCTACTTTTTTTTGGGGGGGGGGGTTCTACTTTTGTATGCATTCTTATCACTTCCTTTTGTTGTGCTATCCATCTAAATACTTCTCTAACACAATTGTTAGACAACGACAGTTTCTTTTGTTGTTTTGTTCTGCTACATGTAAAGAATGATATAGGCCAAACTGTGAAGATAAATAACAGAACCCACAAAAACACCCCAAGATACAGAAAGCACAAAACATCCCTTAGAGAACTCTGAGCAATACTTTAATTCTTAAAATATAAATTCATAGTTTTAATGTCCATTATCATGTTTAATAGAGAAAAAAATTAAATTGCTCAGTGAACAATCAACAGATTCTTGTACACAATTAAGCAATAAAGACAAAGCAAAATTAACCCACATGTTGGTTATATGCTTGCTAAGCAGCACATGGCTGCAAACTATTTTCCCTTGCTGCAGGCTTCTCTCTGGTAAGAACTACAACCATGAGGGTTTCATTAAAAAGCCAGACTCCTACTACATGGCCTTGCCACCTTTTTTTTTTTTGGCCAAGTGGAGCCAGTGAACTCATTTCAGAGAGATTCATTTGGTCAAGACGAGTTCTGGAATTTAGTAAAAAAAATGAGCAAATCTGTGCTTTTTCTCATTGAACACAAGCAGACTGAGGAAACACACACATCCTAATACCAAATGACAAAAGAAAGGCATAAGGCTGAGGATGTAGCTCGGTGGCACACTAACTGCCTGGCAAATGTGAAACCCTGAGTTCGATTCCTGACACCAAAAAAAAAAAAAAAAAAGAAAAGAAAGACAGATAGGAAGAAAGAAAGCCAGTAAGAAGCAAGCCCCTACAGATAAACTTTGAAATGACACCAAGTGCTCTAGTGATGAAGTAATTTCAAGTGGTTATCTTTTTAGGTGATGTAGTATGTTACAAAAATGTAAATGTGGATCATAGGAGTTCTGACCCAGAGGCCGAAAGGAGCACAGCTGGATCTTTGCTCATACCAGGCTGCAAATCTGAGGCTCAGGAGAACAGCAGATTACTTCAATCTGAGACAAATTATTGACCAGTCAGCTTAACACAAACTGTTTACAGTTGGCTGGGTCAGTATAATATTAGAAACTTCAGGGATGAAAGAGAATTAGATTAGAAGGCAGAAATCTGTTAGCAAGTATAATGAACAGGACACTCTAATTCTGGTATCCTCAGGTTCTTTAAACAGGAATTTAAATAGAACAGAACAGAAATGCACTAAAGGACAAAGAATTTCCATCGGTTTTATTGGGGTCATGAAAATTAAAAACACATATTATATTTCTTTTGAGCCATTGTACCAAACCTGGAAAACAAGAAAAAGTAGTATTTCATGAGGTCCAAGAGCTATCTTTGTTCCCAGTTGCTACATAAAGAAACTGAGGCTCAGGAAGCGATTTATACAAGGCTGAGGGTCTCCTCTACCATTGAACTAGCAGTAGAGGTAGCAGCCAACATTCTTCTGTGGTCACTTTCTGTAAGAAAACATTATCAATTAGTCAAATTTTCAGTATTAAAAAATAACATTATTGACTAGGACATTAATAAAATATTTTTTCTTCTTAAAAGTAAAGCTTTTAAAATTAAGATTTATGGGTCAACCAAATAGCTCAGTGGATTAAAGCGCCTGCTCAGGCAGACGCGGTGGCCAGGGTTCCATCCCCAGTGTGCCATCTGGCCCTGCCCCAGGGCAAGCTGAGAAGGTGATGGAGACTGGGCATGGTGGTGCACGCCTGCAATCCCAGCTCTTGGGAGACTGAACACAGGAGTATTACTAGGAGTTCAATCTACATAGCCCTGTAGACACTGTACTAAAAAACAAAAATAAATAAATAAAATTAAGATTTATAAATCATGACTTTAATAATTGGAAAAATAAAATTAAGATTTAGTTACTGGGGTGGCCTAATCCTATAGTTCCTGCTACACAGTAGGCTAGGGCAGGAGATTGATGAGTCCTCAAGTTCAAGACCAGCCCAGGCAGCTATGGTAGCACACAACTGTAATCTCAGCATTTGGAAGATTGAGGCAGGAGGATCCCTGTGAGTTCAAGGCCAGCTTGTGCTACATAGCAACATCCTGTCTCAGGATGTTGCTATGTAGCAAAAAAAAAAGACCAGCCCAGGCAACATAATAAATGAATGAATAAATGAGTAAATAAATAAAATTAAGATTTTTTAAAAATTAATTAGGATTTATTTTATAAAAATCCTTTTTTTTTTTTTTTTTTTTTTTTTTTTTTTTTTTTTTTGCGGAACCGGGGAAAAATGCCTTGTTTTAAGGCATTTGTGTGTGTATCAAGCACACATACAAGTCTCAACTTGTTCATAAGGCTATTAAGTTTGGTTCTCTTTAAGAAATAGCATAGAATATCAATACTTAACGAATTAAGTTTGTTTTTATTTATTTATGTGTGTGTGTGTGTGTGTGTGTGTGTGTGTGGCCAGTTCAGTCCACCAGGGGGCAGGGCTGGCCGGCATGTGGTGCTGGGGGATTGAACCGTGGTCCCTGTGCTTTGCTTAGCTTAGCCTGCTCTAAGTAGGTGCTTTAGACCACTGGGCCATCTCACCAGCCCCGAATTAAGTTTCAAAATGGTAGCACATAAATTTTTTCTATCACCATTGCTATCTTATTTTTTTTTTTTCTATCTTATTTCTTGACAAGTATCAGCAAGTACCAATGTTTTTGATTACAGGGAGGAAATTTTTTAATTGTTTTCTAAAATCTTCTGTCTTCATTTTTTCTAGCAAATATAATATTTCAATTTGTAAGCTGGGCATGGTGGCCAGGATTTGGGAGGCTGAGGCAGAAGGACTAATGAGAGTTTAAAGTCAGCCTGGGCTAAATAGTGAGTTCAAGGACAGTCTGAACTAGAGTGAGACCCACCTTCATTAAAAAATAAAAAATAAAAAAATTGTAGTAATATAACAAGAAACATTTGAGGAAATCTTGTCATACATTAAAATACATTTCTTTTTTATATATGTATTCAGTACAAGGTCTCACTAAGCAACTCAGACTCATAGCGATCCTCCTGTTTTCAGCCTCCCTAGCACAGGTATTACAGTGTGTGCCACCATCAGGTCTTGGTGGCCAGCACAGCATGTGGTGCCAGGGATCGAACCCAGTCCCTACACTTGTCTAAACAGGCACTTGCTCCACTGAACTATCTCGCTGGCCCTTTCCTACATTAATTTTCTTTCTTTTTTTTTTTCTTTTCAAAGTTTTATTGATAAACATATAGCAATGAGACAGTTTCAAATCAAATTGAAAGTACAGTTTCAACAAATAATACACTGCATATATTCTTCTTAGTGGTTAATTGCTGTTCAAGATGCAGACTTGTGATCCTACTTACAAACACCATTAGAAAAAATCATTCTATTCATTAAGAGAATGCAACTATATATCTATCCCAACCACTTTGAATACACAGATACAAAATGGACATTCATAAGTATACCCCAATTTTTCTAAGTTCCGTTATTGAATATTATAGGTGTGTAAACTCAGCAAAATATTCTAAAAGAGTCCAGTAGCCCATAATAGCATTGGGTCTTCTGTTTAACTGGCAATGTCAGAAATTATTGACCTGAGTCCCCCACAGCTCAACATAACAATATGGCTTTACTTCCTATATTTCGTCTTCATACTTTTCTACTGGATGGTTAAGACCAAGGTAAAGCAGGACCTGTGCAACAAGAGTCCTACATTAATTTTCAAATAAAAATGCTTACATTATATTCTTATGAAACAGATAAAATGGGGCTGGTGAGATGGCTCAGTGGTCTAAAGCACCTACTTAGAACAAGCTTAGCAAAGCACAGGGACCTCGGTTCAATCCCCCAGCACCACATGCCAGCCAGTCCCACCCCCTAGTGGGCTGAGCTGGCCACACACACATTTTGGTGTCACAATACAAAAGGGGCTGTGGATGGAACAAAGTACAAAGTCCCAGGGTTTGATTCCCAGTCCTGAGAACAACACACACACACAAACACACACATACACATGCACATGCACACACACACGAGTACACACACACCCCAAGTTGCAAGGTAACACAAGTTTGCTGAGGCTTTGCCATACAAAAGACACTTGGAAAACAGTCTTCAACAAAGACATCAGACTAGTTATGATTTGTGTCTCTGGTTCATATCATGAGAGATTGGCAGTGTCCCACTCTGAGCACCAAATGACCTAAGGTCTTCTGCATGTAAGGATGGGCCTTTACCTCCTAATGGACCGAGCAGTAACCCTTGAAGTCCAGAAAAGCAGGAATGTTATTCAGCTCCATGGCCAGCTTAACGGTGGTAGCGTGCCAACTTTAAACCAGTTTGAAGAGGTGAACAATGAATCGAGTTAGGAGTTTCCTCCAGGTACTACGAATTGAAACCAGGGATGCTCTACCACTAAGCTACATCCAAAGCCCTTTCAATTTGTAATTCTAAGAAAGGATCTTACCCAGGCTGGCCTCGTACCCATCCTGCTTATGTCTCAGCATCCCCAGTAACTACAATTACGGATATGCACCCCTGCACCCAGCTCGAGTTTCTGCACTTACAGCTTGCTGCATGCCAAGGGATATGCATTCTTATAGAAAATACTCTTAGTGGACCCTCATTTCATAGGTCCTGGTACAAATACTGAGCCACAATCTGGCAGGCTCCTTAAAGCTGTTAGAGTTAATCACTGGAGTCAACCTATAAGTGCTGTCCTGGGAATCCTTTCACATGGCTTCTATGGCAGAAGGCACTTGAAACTCAAAATAATCCACTCAGACAATGATCTATTGGAAAACAACTCATGTATGACTTATCACTGCCTACAAGATGTTGGGAACAGCGTGTGAACCAAGGAAGAAAAATCAGATTAAAGAAGTTAGGCACTAAGTGCAAGTTAGGTGGGCCATTTTTTTCCTCTGCTGTGTTTGAGTCTGTTTTTCTTTTTGTTGATGCAGTGTTTGTTTGCTTTGCTTTCCTTATGACTTCTCTGCAGCTCTTTATTTATTCACCAAAGTCTCAATTATATTGCCTTAGTCATTTCCCTCAAATAGATATTTTGGCTTAATTTTCTTCATCACTGTGAGCTTGCATAATATATCATTTTTATTGGTTTCTTTTGTCTTCCATTCACTTTGTCCCTATTGTATACGCCTCCAAGTTTTGTTTTGTTTTGTTTTTTAATGTATTTGGTACGGGGTCTCACTATGCAGCTCGGACTCAGAGTGATTCTCTTATTTTCAGCCTCCCCAGATCTGGGATTTACAGGTGTGCACCACCATGCCCGGTCTCAGTGGCCTGCTCAGCACGCCCAGGGGCAGGGCCAGCATTACATCAAACCCAGGTCCTCGCTTGTCTAAGCAGGTCCTTGCTTAGTCTGCTGAGCTATCTTGCCGCCTTCCCTCCAAGTTTCTATGACCTTGCTAAAGTCAAGAGAAATCCAAAGGTTTATCACTTTAGAATAATGTAGAATATTGAATAAAAAATATTATATATTTAGTAATATCATAAATATTGCATAAAAATACTTTCAGGCTACTGTATCAGAACATAGTAACATAGCCTCAAATTTTTATGTCTCCCTCAAAATTCCCTTAAAAGTCCCCTCATTCATATTTTTTCCAAAGCTTTCTAACAATAAAAACTTAAGTCACTCTGGCAGCTGACCTAGGAAATTCTTTGGCAGAAACAATAGTTGATGTCATCTTCCAACTGAGGCAAAATTTCCCTTGTTCCCCAAGAGTTGGGTAATCCTGCATTGATGACATTTTGTGGCTTTACAGAACAAGCAGCTGGTGTGTACCACAGAGAGGCCCGGTCCGGCAAATACAAGCTCACCTATGCAGAAGCCAAGGCGGTGTGTGAGTTTGAAGGCGGCCGTCTCGCCACCTACAAGCAGCTAGAAGCAGCCAGAAAAATTGGTAACTGATTTGACGATGATTTTCTACATTTTTAGCCTTAGGGTACAGGGTGGGGGACACTGCACCTTTCCTGTGCTCTTGGAACTCCTCTCTCCAGCCCTTTTGAATAGAGCTCTAAGCTCCTCTGGCACCTTTGCTCTCTGGCTTCCTCCATACCCTTCTACTTGAAGCCAGAAGATTACAGTACTATCATCATGTCTAGGGTCTCAATCCACTGATCTAATAAACAAAGAAAAAGAACTTATGTCAATATCTTATGTGTAAATTTCCCTTGAGCTTTATTGTAATTTGTTGTTGTTGTTTGTTTTGGTTTTTTTGGTACTGGGAATCTAATTTGGGACCTTGACGCTTTCTAGGCAGGCACTTGTGCTGCTGATCTGTATCCCTAGCCCTTGCCCTTCATTTTTACTGAGCATTCACATCTTTAATGCCTTAGCCTGGGTTTCCTCGACTGTTTTAAGTGATGCTAGTATGTTGAGCTTTACGAAGAAATTTCCCTGGCATGGGAAATAGTGCATTTAGAGCCATTTTTCCATATATATATTGTTTTCATTTTGAGACAGGATCTCACTCTGCAGTTCAGGCTAGCCTCAGTCCTTGTGGTCCCGCTGCCTCAGTGGTCCCCCTGCCTCAGTCCCTGTGAGCTATTGGGTTACAGGTATGCACCACTATGCCCAGTTTTTTTTTTCCCCAATATATTTATTTAATTAGTCTTTTTGAAACAGTCTCGCAAGGTAGTTCAGGCTAGCCTTGGACTCACTTTGTAGCCCAGGCTGGCCTGAAACTCACAATGATCCTCCTGCTCTGCCTCCCAAGTGCTAGGATTACAGGAGTGCATGACCACGCCTGGCTTTTCCCACTATTTTTAACATGAAGTGAGAGAATACCTTTGTACTCTGTGATCAAAATCAGTGAGGGAGCCGGGAGAGATGGTAAATTCTTGTAATCCCACCGTGAAGAAGTTGGGGCAGGAAGATTCTAAGTTAAGGGCCAGTCTGAGTTACGTGATAAGACCCTGTTTACAATCAAACAAACAAGTGAGGGAAAGGGGAAGCACATTACAAAATGGCAAGAGAAAGACACTGAGATGATGTCAGCCGATCTAGTAAGAACTCCAATAATTAACCAGATGGAACGACTTGTTTCTTTACACAAAAATGGGCTGCTGCCACCTGTCCTGAACTCTTGGGAGAACGGACCACTCCCATAGGAGCTCCTTGGTTGACAGAAAAATGCCTGGCTAAGCTTATGCTGCTACTGCACATACCAACAACAGACAGCTGTTGCGCGGTGTCCATGAGGGGATGATCCCAGACGCCCATAAAACCACACATTGTAGCTTCATATGAACAAGAAACAAGCTCAGCATCTTATTGAGCTCAAATGCAATTGAAAGCATGTACACATTTTTAATCCCCAGTGGGTTCAATGCACAGATGCAGACCTGTAGACGTGCAAAATGGATCACAAGGTACTGTGCGCTCTCAGACCGGGGGTGCCAGGTGCTCCTGTGAAGACCAGGCCTGTGTGTGGCACTGCTGATCCCAGGAACAAAGAGCTACACAGAGTCCGCCTCTAGTCAAAGTGCTCTCCGAGTCAAGTGTTGGGCCACACTCCTGAAACCCCAGCTCTCTGAGAGGCTGCTACAGGAGGGTCCCAAATTCCTGCTCAGCCTAAACAATTTAGTGAGTTAATGAACCCCTGTCTCAAAATAAAAAATAAAAAAAAGACCTAAAGATATTGCTTAGGGCAAAGACTCCACATTTGACCTGTAGTACCCCCCCACACACACACACAATTGGTTTATTTGTTTGTTTCTTTATTGAGGCGGGGGTCTCACTATGTAATGCAGGCTGGCCTTGAGCTCACAGCTACCCTCCTGCCTCAGTCTCTGAGAGCTGGGATCACACATTTGCTCTTCTTTTTTTTTTTTTTTTTTTTTTTTTTTGTGGAACCAGGGATTGAACTCAGTCAGGCCCTTGAGCTTGGCAGGCAAGCGGTTATTCTACTGAGCCATCTCCCAGCCCCCACATTTGCTCTTACAGACACTAAAACAGCCTCTGAAGCTGAACAAGGAAAAGAGGTGGAGCTTTTCTTTGAAATTTATGAGAGAATTTAGCCATATTCAGATCTTTTTTGTTTGTTCTTCGTTGAGACAGGGTCTTAATATATAACCCAGGATGGCCTTGAACACCTTCTACAGGGCAAGCTCTCCTCAGAAATCATGATCTTCCTGCCTCAGCCTCCCGAAGTGCTGGGATTGTAGAATGCCACTGTAACTGGCTCTTTTTCACATTTTTGCTTTTTCTTTAGGCCAGGTCTCTCTCTGTAGTTCAGCCTAGCCTTGAACTCTCTATGTAACCCAGGCTTGCTTTAAATTTGCAGCAATCTTACCTCAGCCTCCTGAGTGCTGAGATTACAGGTATGCAACACCACATCAGCTCAAATCTTCACGATATTACTGAATCTTAATTGATTTTGATATAGAAATGAATTAGATTACCACTTGAAAAAGCTTTTCCAGAATTCACAGTAATTTCAGAAATTATCACATAGTGAGAGACAATTTGTGCTGCTGGGCATGGTGGAACATACCCGTAATTGTGCTTGAGACCAGCCTGGGCTACAAAGTGAGCTCAAGACCAGCCTGAGCTGCACAGTAAGACCCTGTCTCAAAGAGACCAAGAAAGAAAGAGGGAAAGAGGGAAAGAAAGAAAGAAAGAAAGAAAGAAAGAAAGAAAGAAAGAAAGAAAGAAAGAAAGAAAGAAAGAAAGAAAGAGAAAGATGGGGCCGGGGAGATGGCTCAGTAGAATACATGCTTCCCTGGCAAGCACAAGGGCCTGAGTTCAATCCCCAGTTCAGAGAGAGACAGAGAGAGAGACAGAGAGAGAGACAGAGAGAGAGACAGAGAGAGAGACAGAGAGATCATTTGTGAAAAGAAAGTACCTTTGAAATTGGATTGGTTTTATATCTATGGTGTGATTTCTAATCCATTTACATCTTTTTTTAAAAGTAGGACAACTTTCTAGTAAGAGTCACAGATTATATTTTGTGTGTATTCTCTTTTCTATGGAAGCAGTTTCTCCCATCTTGCAGGAAGTGAATCAGGACAGCTGAGGGACCATGGATTCCTCGTCAACACCTCAACCCTTTTTTCCTCTCTGGCAGGATTTCATGTCTGTGCCGCCGGGTGGATGGCCAAGGGCAGAGTTGGGTACCCCATTGTGAAGCCAGGGCCCAACTGTGGATTTGGAAAAACTGGAATTATCGACTATGGAGTCCGTCTCAACAGGAGTGAAAGATGGGATGCATACTGCTACAACCCACATGGTTTGTTAAAAATCATCTTTTAATGCTTTCCAAAAAAGTTACATACACACTATTAAAAAAACACAACAAAATACTTATGGGAGACTAAGAAGTTGTTAAAAAGAGTTGGTTGAGCATGTGGAGCACAACCATAAACAAGGGTTTCAAAGGCTGTGGCAGAACGTCACAGGTACAAACCCAGCTTGGCCAACCTAACAGCTTCTTGAGACCTTGTCTCAAAATTTCAAAAGGCAAAGGTTTTTTTTTTTTTTTTTTTTTTTGCTGTTTTTGTATTTATTATATATGTATTTATGTGGGTGACTTAATAAGAGTGTCATAAAAGGTGAGACTCAGGTGGGTTTGTTTGTGGCACAGGAATAAACATTTTGGATGTGGTTGTTTATGTGAAGAATAGCAGTAGTTTCTGTTTCCAGATTGTTCCACACTGGGAATCACAGTCCCAGCCTGCTGATGAAAGGCCTGCTGAGACACAGCCAGGCAGCAGCCACCCCTGTGCACTATGGGAAAACCAGTCAGCCTAATAATACTCATCCCGCAGATGAGCTATGCCCAGGGACAGTCACTGTACCCCTTCCTTAGCTCAGAGGCAGGGCAGAAGGCAAGGGCTTTCCTTGAAAAAAAAAAAAAAAAAGACAGGGGACATAAATCACAAAATAAGGACAATGTTATCTTCTACTATGAGAGCTAAGTTCTCACAGTTAAAGCAAAAGTGAGAAGGAGAAACCAGGCCCAGCAGACCTGGCAGCTCAGCTTTCCAGGTATTGAAGGCAAAGGTTTTTTTAAAAAGCATTGTGATTGTAGCTCAGTGTGAAGGCCCTGGCTTCAGTCCTTTGTGCATGAGAGAGAGAGACACAGACAGAGAGAGACAGAGAATGAGACAGAGAGAGACAGAGAAACAGACAGCCAGAGAGAGAGAGAGAGAGAGAGAGAGAGAGAGAGAGAGAGATTATTCTTCTTGAAAGAATCCAATTTGGTAATAATAATCATGAAGAGTAGGTGCCGTGTTGGAGCCTTACGCTGTACTGGATGCTGGGCTGTTTCCTCACCTCCACCCTCTTAGCATTCCCAACTCTTCAAGGAGCTATTCACCACTGCATTAGCAATAGGGAGGCTGAACGTAAGTAACCTCACTCCAATCAGGCAGCCAACAAGAGGGGCAGGCAGGATAAGAAGTCAGCTTTGTGCCAGGGAACTTCCTGGTCACAAAGAAGGACACACACACACACACACACACACACACACACTCACACATACATGCATTATAAATCTGTCATCAATACCCAAAACAATAAAAAGTGATGCTATAAAATGTTAACTGTTCAAAATCACCCCTTTGGTAGAGTGAGGAAAAGGGGACAAACTCTTTCCCTAATTTACTTTTTCATATAAATGCTCCCAAACAAGGTAACTTTTTTTTTTTGCCCCGAATGCCTTCAGGGCAGATTTGGCTGGCTTGAGTTGTGGGGATCGAACCAGAGCAACCTGAGCCTGATTGCTTTGTTGAAGCAGCCACTTAAAGAACTGAGCTAAGGGTCAGGCCCCCAAGGTAACTCTCATTTTGTGGCTTTGCAATTATATTCTACATGTACTAGCTTTCATTTTTGCTTTGCAGCACTGAGATGCAACCCAGGACTGCGCTCTCATTGAGTTATTTTCCCAGACCTGTTTGCTTTTTGGGACAAGACCTACCCAAGCAGCCCTGGGGGGACCAAATTTGCTGTAGCCTCCCTCAGTGCTGGACTAGTTCTCATTGTATTTTCCTATAGCTATTCGAAATATTTAAAGGGAAAATTCATTAATACAAAGAATTGCTCTTCATGCTATCAGAGAAAAAAATAGATTCTTCTATGTGCATATTCCCAAAATGGTACAAAATTATATATAAATTGCCAATCATTTCGGCATTTATGGCCATATTCAGGTGTGTCTCATCTGGACCTGCCTCGTAGAAACTCTAGCTTGGCGTGGTGGCACACTATAAAGCCAGCACTCTAGGACGCTGAGGCCGGAGTATTGCAGGTTTGCGCTCTACAGTTTGGGTAATTTAGACAGACTTTTCTCAAAAAAAAAAATAAAATAGGACTGGGTATCAACTCAGGGTAAATGGGTTTGATCCCCACTACTGCAATAAAAGAAAGAAAAGAAAAGAAAAGAAAAGAAAAGAAAAGAAAAGAAAAGAAAGGAAAAGAAGGAAGAAAGGCTATATAACACAGTGGAAAACTTAACACACTGGTGAAGTCCTAGCATGCTTTTACAGAATTTATCATTTAATAAGACTAGTTATTGGGGGGCTGGGGGAATGGCTCAGTGGAATAAGCACTTCCTTGGCAAGTGCAAGGGTCTGAGTTCAATCCCTGGTTCCGGAAAAAAAAAAAAAAAAAAAAAGACTGGTTATTGGAGCACAGTGTTTCAGGTCCATAACTAACCTATATCTTAAAATTACATGTACCCCAAGTAAAAAGACTTTTGCCTAGCACACAGTCTTCTAATACTGATTGAAATAAAGTACAGAAGTATAGTTTCCAAAGCAGTTTTTCCATACGTTAGGTTTAGTCCTCGATCGTACTATTCCACTGTATATGTAGCCGCGTATTCAGTCGTTGTCAATAACACAGAAAGCGTCCGTCCCTCCTTCCCTCTGCACTTTCTTTTTCTTTGATATATTTGTACAAGCAATTCCTGTTTTAACTCAAGTCTTTCAAATACAGTCTGCTGCTTCATTTGCTTGATAAGTAGCAGAATCTATGAGCTCCTGCACCATCCTTTCCAAGGGTCAAAGTGAGGGGTAAACGAAGCCGAGCAAATCGAAGTGTTCTCGCAGGATTTTTCTGTCCTTTTATAATAATGCCATCTTCATCTGCCAGTTTTTGATAGTTGCTTCCTTTTCTCAGAAAGGCTGAGTACTATTTATTCCAGGAATGTGTGCACAGAATCCTAGGAGACTTACTCTTACGCAATGCTCAGTGTAGCCGGCTTCCGTAGAAGTTTGGTGATGGGCTGATTCCGCACTCAGGCTGCAGCTGTGGGAAGGACGCGGTGAATCTGCCTGCACGAGCAGAGCGGGCCGCCGAAACCCAAGTGCGGGGAGAAGCAGTCGGCGGCGCGGCCAACGGCCGCTGGGTTCCGGCTGAACTAGGGACGAATAGGGTCGCTAAGGGCTCAAAAGTGAAACTGGGGACTTTAAGTTTTGGAATGTGTTTGGACACTAACTGCCTTCAGGTATGAATTTTTAACCAATTAACAGGTATCAGAGGCCCAGTCAGGTTGTGAATGTGTCGTTTTTAAAATAAGGGATACATAAGGCAATCACTGTATTACCATAAAATGAAGAGCTGAATGCACATAATTGTTGAATAGATAGAATTAAATAAGTGCCCAAATTACCTCAGCTCTCTCTCTCTCTCTCTCTCTCTCTCTCTCTCTCTCTCTCTCTCTCTGTTGTTGTTGTTTTTTGAGACAGGGTCTCACCATGTAGTTCAGACTGGTTTTGAACTCACTGTGTAGTCAAGGCTGACCCAGAACTCCCCAGCAATCTTCCTGCCTCAGCTTCCCAGTACTGGGATTATAGCCGTCACCACCACTCACATCTCTAATTCAGCATTTGAATTCTTTTCCCTAATGATATCTACAAAGAAGATAGAATTCTCGGGGACAATGCAAATCACTTCAAAAGCTGAATGAATACAAATTATGAATGCAAACAAATTACGCATCATGTAATAATTCATTGTACAATAATGTTAGCTTACATTTGCATAATATTCTTGGTTTATCTTCAATATGTTATTCTGAGAATAGCCCTATAAGGTAGACATGGTTATATTTATTTTACCAGTGAAGAAAATGAGGAATAGGACAGACACAGAGCTTGAACTCTGTGCTTTCTGTTCTCCTATTGATTCACAATCTTTTAAGTCACTATTTAGCCTGAAAAAATAAGTTTTCTTCTCTTCTACAGCATTAAACATTCTGACACAATTTTTTTTCCTCACACAATTTTTAAACGTAGTGGGTTTTGCTTTGTTTTCCAATCTGGGGGTTGGACCAAGAGTCTCCACACGGAGCTACATCCCCAACCCTTTTTAAATTTTGAGACAGGGTCTCAATAAATTTCTAGGTTGCTAAGTTGAGCTTTAATTTATAATCCTCCTGCCTCTGCTTACAGAGTGGAGTGAACTACCACATCCGGCAAAAGCAGGTATCTTAAAGAGGAATATTCCTGGGGGAAGCTCTGATTATTTTTTTTTCACAATATTGTTATTTTTTTTATTTTATTGAGAAACAAATAGCAATGAGACAGTTTCAAAACTGATTAGTAGGACAGTTTCAATAATTAATACATTTCATATTGTTGTCTTTGTAGAATTTTATTATTTTTAAGTCTGACTTGGATTACTATCAAAGAGAGTCTCAGCTTGTGGGTTTTCAAGGCTTTTTAGGGGCGAGCAAGAGGGAAGCATAGTAGCCGATTTGGTACATTATGTTTGCCACGGGACTTTAAACAACTCAGATGACAATGAGTGTCCATCATCATTCTTAAGTTACATTGCAAGGCCATGAGTTATACAAAGACAATAAAGACAGGTGTTACACAAAGAACAAGTACTCTGATAGCCGGCTTGCCTGGGCATGTCCACTTGGTTTTGGCAGGATTTCTTGATGAGTCTACTTAAATTTTATTTCCCTCTCATTTTAGTTAATTTGAAAAATCATTTTCAGAGATTATAGGGACTCATTGGTCTCTTGGTAGTCCCCGGGAGAAAACAGTGAGAATATTTAGAAAATAAATTGAAGAGAAAAATAGCTGAATTTAGGTAGTGGTCTGCTTGCCTGATTGGCAAAGTACTGAAAGAACAACAGTAGGAACGTTATTTATAACTTTGGTAAGTTGCTATCATGAAACAAGGTTGCCTTGTGACTAATAGCCAAAATGGTCCAGGCAGGATGTTTTTCTCAAGACTGAGTTAGCTTGACTGCTTTAGGCACTGAGGCCTTGTCGGTCCTCTCACATAGGAACAATTTCCAGCTTCAGCCACTTCTAATATCTCTCCTTCTACTGTTTTGTTGTGTGAATGATGGGTGTTCCCTTGCAGTTGGAGAAGCTGTCTTTGGGTGTTCAGGGTCTTACTACTAGATCAGACTTGTAGTGATCTGCCTGCTTACAGCCTCTGAAGAGCTGGGATTTTTTTTTTTTTTTTCGGAACCGGGGATTGAACTCAGATCCTTGCGTTTGCCAGTCAAGCGCTTATCCTACTGAGCCATCTCCCCGGCTCTGGAGAAGCTGTCTTTGGAGAACACTGTAGAAACTTTTTCATTCTTGAGACCATTCCAAAGATTTTTCATACCTTTATACTGCAATTAAACCCTCTAAAGTCTAACAATCCATCACAGTAGTGAGATAGGAGTACACTGGCAATTGTCAGAACTTGTTAGTGATTTGAAACTTATACAGTTAGCATATTATTATGGTTTTACCCCTACCATATTTTCATAACTTTTCTTGTTTCTCTCTTTTTTGTTTTTGTTTTTTTGTGGTACTGGGGATTGAACTCAGGACCCAGCGCTTGCCAGACAAGTACTTATTCTACTGAGCTGTCTCCCCTAGCATCTTATTATGGCATTACTTTTTACATTTCCTTGTTTCCTTAAGCTGGATGCTTAAGACCAAGTTAAGATGAGACCTGTATAATAAAAGTTAGCATTTTGCTACCTATCAAAGTCAGTCTCAGGATTTAACTGGGAACCATGTACAGCACCCATGAGATCGTCTGTCAGTGTCAGCCATCTAGATAAGTCACGGCCATTGCTTGACCAAGTTGCTTTCTTTCAAAGCTTGAGAGATTATTTTCTCTCCAGGTGACTCTCCTTAGGTACACTATACATTGTTGAATCACTTTCCTCTGTGGTCCAATAATCTCCTTGATCAGAAAATCAGGGACTCAACTGAGTTACAGGATATCACAGCAGAGGCTCACTTATGTCCTGAGTCCTCACTGACCTTGGAGGGCTAGGGCCAAAATACTGGCTATCCTCTAGCCCACCTATTTCCCTTTTTGGCCTCCAAACCTCAGTTGTTAAACATCCAGAAGAGAAAGCTCTGATTATTATAGTAAAAATATCCTGAAATGCTGCGCAGAGTCACCACCACCACCACATATACACTTTTTTTAGTTTTCGGGTTCTCCCCTTTTTCTTCTTTCTTTATTTCTTCCTTTCTTTTCTTTTTTCTTTTTTCTTTTTTCTTTCTTTTTTTTTTTTTTTTT